ATGTTTGATAAAATTCAGTGGTGAAGCCATCTGATCCAGGAGTTTTGTTCTTAGGTAGGTTTTTGATTACCGTCAGTTCAATTTCATTGCTGGTAATTGGTCTGTTTAGATTTTCTGTTTCTTTCTGGGTCAGCCTTGGAGGGTTGTATTTTTCTAGAAAGTTGTCCATTTCTTCTAGGTTATGTGGTTTGTTGGGGTATAATTTTTCATAGTATTCTCTCGTAATTGTTTGTATTTCTGTGGTGTCCATAGTGACTTTTCCTTTCTCATTTTTGATTCTGTTTATGCGTGTACACTCTTTTCTTCTTGATAAGTCTGGCTAGGGGTTTATCTATTTTGTTTATTTTCTTGAAGAACCAGCTCTTGCTTTCATTGATCCTTTCTATTGTTTTTATTCTTCTCAATTTTATTTATTTCTGCTCTTCTCTTTATTATGTCCCTTCTTCTACTGACTCTGGGCCTCATTTGTTCTTCTTTTTCTAGTTTCCCTTATTGTGAGTTTAGACTGCTCATATGGGATTGTTCTTCTTTCCTGAGGCAGGTCTGTATTGCAATATATTTCCCTCTTAGCACGGCCTTCGCAGCAACCCAAAGATTTTGCGGTGTTGAGTTATTGTTGTTATTTGTCTCCATATATTGCTTGATCTCTGTTTTTATTTGGTCATTGATCCATTGGTCATATAGGAACATGTTGTGAAGCCTCCATGTGTTTGTGAGATTTTTCATTTTCTTTGTGTGATTTATTTCTAGTTTCAGACCTTTGTGGTCTGAGAAACTGGTTAGTCCAATTTCAATCATTTTTAACTTACTGAGGCTCTTTTTGTGGCCTAGTATATGATCTATTCTTGAAAATGTTCCATGTGCACTTGAGAAGAATGTGTATTCTGCTGCTTTTGGGTGTAGAGTTCTGTAGATGTCTGGTAGGTCCATCTGTTCTAATGTGTTGTTCAGCGCCTCTGTGTCCTTACTTATTTTCTTTCTGGTGGATCTGTCCTTTGGAGTGAGTAGTGTATTAAAGTGTCCTAGAATGAATGCATTGCATTGTATTTCCCCTTTTAATTGAGTTAGTATTTGTTTCACATGTAGGTGCTCCTGTGTTGGGTGCCTAGATATTTATAATGGTTATTTCTTCTTGTTGGATTGACCTCTTTATCATTATGTAATGTCCTTCTTTGTCTCTTGTGACTTTCTTTGTTTTGAAATATATTTTGTCTGATACAAGTACTGCAACTTCTGCTTTTTTCTCCATATTAGTGGCATGAAATATCTTTTTCCATCTCTTTACTTTTAGTCTGTGTGTGTCTTTGGGTTTATAGTGCATCTCTTGTAGGCAGCATATAGATGGGTCTTGTTTTTTGTATCCATTCAGTGCCTCTATGTCTTTTTGATTGTTGCATTCAGACCATTTACATTTAGGGTGGTTATCGGTAGGTATGTACTTACTGCCATTGCAGACTTTAGATATGTGGTTACCAAAGGTTCAAGGTTAACTTACTTACTAAGAGTCTAACTTAACTCACTTATATGCTATTACAAACACAATCTAAAGGTTCTTTCTTTCTCCTCCTCCATTCTTTATATGTTAGGTATCATATTCTGTACTCTTTGTCTATCCCTTGACTGACTTTGTGGGTTGTTGATTTAATTTTGCATTTGCTTAGTAATTAGCTGTTCTACTTTCTTTACTGTGGTTTTGTTACCTCTGGTGACAGCTATTAAACCTTTGGAACACTTCCATCTATAGCAGTCCTTCCAAAATACACTGTAGAAGTCGTTTATGAGAGGTAAATTCAGCTTTCACTTATCTGGAAATTGCTTAATCCCTCCTTCAAATTTAAATGATAATCTTACCAGATAAAATATTCTTGGTTTGAGACCCTTCTACTTCATTGCATTAAATATATCATGCCACTCCCTTCTGGCCTGTAAGATTTCTTTTGAGAAGTCTGATAGTAGCCTGATGGGCTTTCCTTTGTATGTGATCTTATTTCTCTTTCTGGCTGCTTTTAATAGTCTGTCCTATCTTTGCCATTTTAATTATTATATGTCTTGATGTTGTCCTCCTTGGGTCCCTTGTGTTGGAAGATCTGTGTACCTCCATGGCCTGAAAGGCTGTCTCCTTCCCCAGATGGGGAAATTTTCAGCAATTATCTCCTCAAAGACACTTTCTATCCCCTTTTCTCTCTCTTCTTCTTGTTCCCCTCTAATACGAAAAATTGGTCACACAGTTCTCTCAGTATTCTTTCATTCTTGGAGATCCTTTTTTCTCTCTGTGCCTCAGCTTCTTTGTGCCTCTTCTCTAATTTCTATTTCATTTATCGTCTCTTCCACTGTATCTAATCTGCTTTTAAAACCTTTCATTATATGTTTCATTTCTGATACTGTGTTCCATAATGATTGGAACTCTGACTGGAATTCATTCCTGAGTTCTTGAATACTTTTCTGTACCTCCATGAGTATGTTTATGATTTTTTTTTTAAATCTCTTTCAGGAAGATTCATGAGTTTGGTTTCATTCGACTCTTTCTCTAGTGTATGTATGGTTTTGCTTTGAAGCAGTTTCCTTTGACATTTCATATTTGTATGTGACATTCTCTAGTGCCCAGAAGGTCTACTCCTGGAACTGTTCAGTCCCTGGAGCAATGTCTGGGGTTGAAGGGGAGTGGTGTTCATGCCTGGGGGAAGTAAAGAGCTATTTCCTGCTTCCTGGCTGCTATGCCTGTGTCCACTGCCAGAACCAGTGGGCCGAGCACACAGGTATAAGCCTCTATGCTTTGCATTTGTAGCTGCTGTAGGTGGGGCTTCCCTCTGGCCTAATGCCAGGGAAGTGTTTGTCAGCTTGTGAGGTAGGTGCGGGCTGGCTGGGAGGAAGGCGATAGAGGCTGAATATCACAGTGGGGGTCCTTGGAGCTGGTAGCTAGCCAGGGGGCTGGAGGCCTGAACATTGTGAAAGTTCCCAGCCTGCTGGGCAGAGTGCATCCAGACAATTTTGTCTACCTGTCCTTTCTCCTGAGCAGTAAACTGTGCAAGCCTTGCCCCTTTAGTAGCCCTCTCGCTGTTAGAGAGTGTCTCAGACTGCCCACCTTTCTTTTGTCCTGGAGCCACCGGATATGGATCCCTGTTTTCCACAAGCAGCTGGAATCTCAGTCTTTCCAGGTATTTTGCCTGTCTTAGCTTTCCAACCTCCCTAATCACCAGAGCACCATACAATGTAGGTTTGTGCTCCCAGAGCAGATCTCCAGAGTTAGGTATTCAGCAGTTGCAGGCCTCCACTCCCTCACTGCTTTGTTTCTCTTCCTCCTGCTGGTGAGCTGGGGTGGGGGAAGGGCTTGGATCCCGCTGGGCCACAGCTTTGGTTCGTTACCCTGTTTCGTGAGGTCTGTTCTTTTCTCGAGGTGAATGCAGTCTGGCACAGTCCTCTTCCCTGTTGCTCTTTCAGGATTAGTTGTATTAATTATATTTTCATATTATATGCCATTTTAGGAGGAGGCTTCGTTCTTACCTCTCATGCTTCCGTCTTTATTCCCTCCCTCCTATTCTTACTATACTATTTATATCTTGGCATTTTTCATCAAGGACAGGAAAAATTAGTCATGATGCTTGTTTCATGTCCCTGCCCTGCCTCACTAAGGGAAGACTGTATGATCGGGGAAGCAAAGTTATTATACACTGAACAATATACTGATTATTTTAAGATTCATTCTTACACTTATATTAGGAAGTGCTAGACAAAAGAGACATTTAAATACAGTAGGTGAGATTTTTTATGGCATTTCACAAATGATATAAGCATGGTCTTCAGCCTTTACACAGCATTTTGCTTTGTTTGGAATCCCTCTGTCGGTCTGTGGTCTGGTCATCTTACACTCATCTTCAAGTTTGAGGTCTCCTATAATCCTCACCACTGACTGACATCCTCCCTAGCATCCCACTCCTGCTGTTTGCTCTCCTCTACTTCATTGGAGTGGCTGACTTAGGTTCTGCCTCTGCCTCGCTCAGTCTCTAGGTCTCCAGTGCCTAGCACTGGGCTGTACCTTCCAGATGAGTGAGTGGATGGGTAGATGGGCTGAGTACAGAAAGCTTCAATATATGGTTTTGTATAGACCATACTGAAACAATGGGTTTCTTACCTTCTGGGCCTTATTCATTACAGTAAATGATTACTAGAGTGTTTACTTATCTCACAGATGTATTAAGGGTTATGAGAGTCTGGTTTTGTTAAGCCAAAACCTTCAAAAATTTCCTGTAAAACACTTTTGAGTAGTACTTATGGTGGCAAATGTTGATACTTCTTCACTCTTTATTGAGATAATTGGGCATAAGATTCAAGAGGCCAAAATGGAAAAGGTTTTCTCTTAAAAAATAATAAAGTAAAAGGGATAGCCTAAAATGTAACCAGCCAGCAGTCTTTCTCTTCTATTCCATTTTGCTGCTTTTCAGTGCAGTGATAATCTAAAGTTTATTAAGTAGCTCTGGTGTACTATCATACAAACCTCTAAATCATTCCAGAAAGGTTATTGTACTTATGTGTGGTCTTTGATTTTGAGAGTATGATATGCATTCTAAGGCTGTGGACACTAGGGATGGCATATATCATGTAACCCCTCTGTAAGCAGACTGACTTTCTGGGTCTCCCAAGCTTCCTGGGCCTGCCAGAGAAGATGACTGTGCTCTCAGGATGAGGGAGTCAGTTGTCACAGGCCGAGGTTCACTTTACCACTTCTCCCTTGTTTCTCTTTGGTTGAAGTCTGTTTCTGTTGGAAGTCCAGGCTCCTCCCATCACACCCAGTGACAAACAAGTAGGGCACAGTGCTGGTCCGGCTAACTGCTCATGTCTGAAGGCTGGGAAAGTGGTGGTTGCCATCTTTTCCTCACCTGAGTGGCTTTCCTTATAGCGCTGGCTGTTCTGGTGTTCTGCACGGAAGCTAGAATAAAGCCTCGCACCTTTGCTTTTTGCATTTGAAAAGACTCACCCAGCTTTTCTGTTGCCCTTCTATGTAGTTCAGCCAATGCTACCCCTGAATTTGAAGGTCGAGGAGGTGATGATCTTGGCACGGAGATTGCTAACACCCTCTCCCGGATATTTAACAATAAGAGCAGCGTGAACCTCAAATCCCTCTGCATTAGTCCTCGGGAGCACTGCTGGATTCTCTATGTGGACGTGCTGGTAAGTATCACATTACAGTAGCTTTGTTGGAGACCAGTTGGCCTTCTTTCCACTCAGTGCTTTTTCTGCTCTTCAAGGGGATGCTTTCAACTTCCAAGGTGAGATTAGTTGGAAAAAGATTGATCTCCTGTAATAGTGTTTTTATTAAATACAGCACATGTATAGTAGCCTACATATAAAGCCATCCTACAGTAAAGTTACAGTCATATCATGGCAGCACCTGAAATTATCCACAGAGGTTTTCAGGGAAGAAAAAAAACGAGGGATGCTCTCCAGATGGTGTCTGGTAGAGCTGATGGCAGGATTTACAGAGGTACACATACTTCTGCGTGAAATGATGGTTTGCTCTTTACATGCATTTTCATTTAACCCTTACAAATGTTTTATGACAGGGCATTGGTATTTGCCCATTTATAAGTGAAGGAGCAGGACACAGAGAGGTAAAGTAACTAGCCTAACAGGTCTCAGCTTGTGAGCAGTGGTTTTGGGCCTCACAGGCAGGTTTGATTAGTGTGGGTGCTTGCCTGTGACCTCACTGAGCCATCTTCCCTTGAAGACATCCTGTGCTCACCAGCTGTGTCCCTCATTTCCCAGGTGGGGACCCCAAGATTCTGCCTGTACCTCCTCCAGTGTCTGCTACTGCAAACCTCTTTCTAGTCTAGCCCTCCCTTTCCTTCCTGTGCTGTCCCACCCACGGGCTCCCGAGCTTGGGCTGGGGTGCTTGACAGTCACCCTCCCAGAGCTCTAGTTAATTTCACCAGTTGCATGGTCCCTTCTCAGCATCTGTGTACGCTTGTGGCTCTGTAGGAGGCTGCCTCTGTGATAGGGCCTGATGCTCTTTTGATACAGGCTCGTGGGTCCAGCTTATTCCTTTTCATTAAATTTTATGAACCTTGAGAATAGTGACTACATTTTCACTTCAAGTTGAGGACACAAGTCTAAGCCACTGACCAACAGATTCTCTTATGAATCTACAGTTCAAGCAGATCTTATGGACTGATAGTGAACTTTGTGATGAGGAATAGCTTGGCTGTCTCTAAATGCTGGCCCTGCATGAAACTGGGTAAGACTTTCTGGGTATTTTTAAATTAATTTGATAGTAGAGTGAGCACAGTCAACCAAAAGATAGCAATGGTGACCATGGTCCAGCCAGTTGGGGCTGTTCTGAATGCTGATGCTAATAGTGAAAAGTAATGAAATAACAAGTCCATTTGCTTTTTCTTATCTTTGATAAGCAGGAAGTACCTTATAGTGTGACTCCTACCAATCAGGCAGTTTTGCAGGATCAGGTTTTAAGGAGGTGGGAATTGTCAACCTGTGGTCCTTTCTGATGATATGCAGGCTTAGCTTCATAGCTTCCCATGGAGGTGCAGCCCAGCAACATGAGCTCCAAAGCCCCACCTTACATCTGCAGAACATTACGTCCTCTCCCTTTCCTGCAGAAAAGGTAAAGGCATGAGTGTGGTGGGGCAGCACATCTGTACTTTGGTGAGACTGCTTGGTCCCTTCTCAGCACCTGTGTACACTTGTGGCTCTGTAGGAGGCTGCCTCTGTGATAGGGCCTGATGCTCTTTTGATTCAGTCAAGAAGCCTGTTCCGTCAGTGAAAGCTTTTGCAAAACTCATGACCATGGGACAGTGTTTCAGCTTAGAACCAGCACCTTCTTCCCTGAACAGGGGATGTATGGTAAGCAGGAGTGTCTCCAGGTGCACTGTGTCCCTGTCATAGGCAGACCTTTCTTTTTAAGACTCCTTTCATTTGGATTTCTTCTCTAATCTTTTTAAGTTTTATTTCTTTTGACGAAGACATGATCTTTTGAAATGTAAACCTCAGAAAAGTTTTTAATGAATTAGAAAAACATTTTAAGAAGTTAGTTAATGAGATAGATCAGTTTTTGTCATTCACATAATTCACATCTATGGAGGGGCTTCTTTTCCATGAAAGCAAGTGGTTGCTTTCAGCCTTGATGGGAGTGTGCCTTGTGTATGTGAGATGGGGGTAGACTTTTATTTGGGAATTAAGTTTTTATGCTATGTCTAAAAATATACTGAATATATTGAGTCCATGCTTGAAGCAAGGTGGTAGAAGTCCAGTCTTGTCACTGGGATTTCAAAAAATGAATCTTCTGTGATTTACATTTACCAACTGGTCTGGATTGCTCTCAGGTAGAGCCCATCTTTCAAATATTCACTGGGCAACCTTCTGTGTTTTCATGCTTTTACATATTTTTTTCCCCTTAAGTGGGTTATTTTATGAGAGTAGAAATTTAACTTCATGGGAACTTTTCTTTGTCCATCATAGTTCCTTAATGGCACTGGTTTTCAGTGTAGAGGTGACCCTTGGTGGGGAGGTCAGTCACACAGCTGTCCTGTGATGGGCCCAGGAATGGGGATGCGGAATAGCAGGTGGTCTGGGGCACTGGGCACAGGAAGGAAGGAGCAAGGAGTCAGCATAGTGTCTGGCCAGGCATCAGGAGGTGCTGAGCCCAGTGTTCTGCAGGAACAGTGTGGGGAGACCCAGCGGAGCAGGGTTCCTGTGGGGAGACACGTTTCCTTCTTGGTAGGCTCTACTCAACCCCAGGAGGCTAGCAGAGTAAATTGTGATGTTCCCCCTAAAAGAACCATTCTAGGATTTGTGTATCTAATAGGGAGGTGTGTTTGTGATCAACTATGTCTGTTCCAGTTGTATTCCTTCCCCATCCCTGTTACAGGAAGGATTTTATCCCCAGAGGGCGGGTCACCTGAGACCTTTAGGACCACAGGCCCGAGTCTAACACTAGATGTCATGCTAGAACCTCCCCTTCTCTGCCCAGCTCATCTGGGCCCATTCACACAGCTCAGTCGGGCAGCTTCGGGTCTCCATGTCCCACTCCATGCACCCTCCTGCCTCTTGTCTGTACCATTGTGCATAGCAGTAAGATTCTTGCTAGGCTGGGCCTGCTTGCCAGCAAGAGAGGAAGCAGGGTCTGTGAGCACCTGTTAATATGTTATGTGCCAGGTCTCATTCAATCCTCATGGCCACCCTGAAGAGCAGCACAGCTTTGCTTTACTGAGGGGCAAACCAAAGCTCAGAGGCCACATAACCAGCAAGTGGCAAGCAGGGGTGTCAGGCCCACACTGCCTGACCTCTGTGATTGGGAGGACCAGACATAGGGCCTGCCTGTCTTCTGCGAATAATCACCAGGCTCTTTCTTCACAACAACCATTCTGCTGGGCTCTGCAGATACAAGAATGAACACACCTGACTGGGTCCAGTCCTCAGAAGTTCACAGTTCAGGGGAAGAGGAGACAATGACACATGGAAATACATGACTTTTCTTTCTACCGGTGACTTCCTCTCCTTTCCTCTCAGGGCAGCCCAGTTGGCTTCACCTGTAACCTGAGGCCAAGGCTTCTCTAAAATGAGGACAGAGGATGTGTCACCTACATAATACTGTGCTGTAACCTCCTCAGCTGAATGAGCACACAGAAGTATGGTCAACACTTTTGTCCATGAGCAAAAACTTGTATAAAAGACCTTAGTTTTTATTATACTTAATGTAAAACAGAGTGTTATGTGTTTGAGTATCAGTTGTACATTGGTGATCACATACAGTAGTTTATCTACACTGATAAACATGATCTTGGTAACAGCTGTAGTCTCAGTGAATGTGCCATTTTCTGCTTTTTTGGAGGCCGGGCATATGTTAGCAAAGATGAGAGTAATGCCTTCAGTGCAATTGGGAGCTATATGGGGCAAAATAAAGGTGATCAGTTGCTCCTCCAGCTTAGGCCCAACTGGCTGGAGGGCCTGTTAGGGGAGATCTGCCGCAGGCTGAGGCCTCTGAGTGGTGGAACCACAGCCAGGGCCAACTGTTCTCGCATGCAGGGTGCTTGTAAGCACAGCCATGAGAAAGCGTTTGCAATTAGCATGAACACATGGTGAGTGTCAGTGAGCCAGGAGAACAGCCAAGTTTTCGTATGTTTATTTTATAAACACTCAGTCAGCATTTCGTGGGAACCAGTGTCCTTTAATTGGGGTGATACTTCAAGAAATGATGCTTACTATTTCTTCCCCCTCACTCCTTGTCTCCATTAGTTGCTGGAATGTGGTGGAAATTTGTTTGATGCCATCTCTGTTGCTGTGAAGGCTGCTCTATTCAATACAAGGTAAGTCTTCCTAGAAACAGCCCCACAGGCCTGTGGAGAACCTGAGCAGGCACGTGAGGTGCAACACTGAGGACACTGCTCTTGAAGCTCATATGTGAAGATACAAGGGTTTAGCATTAAACACAGAGGTATTTAATGTTAAGCTCCAGAAAACAGATTTTACAAGTTAAAACGAAATATGTGTATGTGTTTCTGTATTTCTTCTTTGTATTGTTATTTTCATAAGGAACCGTGTAACGTGTAGAAAAATACTAGAAAACTGCAGAGAAGCAAAAAGAGTAGAAACCAAGTACAGGTCAGTGTCCAAATACTGTGACTAGAGGAAAGTCTAGGGGGACGGGGTGTTATCTGTTTTCTGCTCTGCTGTATGCCCAGCACCATGAACAATGCTGGTCACACTGTAGGCGCCCACACAGTCCTTGACTGGATGCATGAATGTCCTAAAGAAAAGGTGGCAGCCTGCTCCTTGGTGTGAGTTAGAGCAGGAAATAGTCATGCTACTGTGGTTCAGCTTCCAAGAAAGGCTGTGTGTCAAGGGACATGGCACTAAATATTTTTAGAGTTGCCATTTCCACTGATGATTTGATTATGTCACCTTTTCCCCTTCTGTGCACCAAGTTCTTTGAGGAAAGGTTGCAGCACTTAAAAATAAATATGTGGGCAGGGTGTTCATTCCATGAGGGAGCTTTCTTTAAGGTAATGGGGAATCCCAGTATATTAGAAAATTAGGGTGGAAACGTCTAGGGTTATATTCTAAGGAAGTAATTGGATAAGTGAGCACAGATATTATTCAGAGATGCTTATTACATCTTTGTAATGGTGAGAAATTGAAAACAATTTGAATGTCCCTGCATAGGGGATTGAAATCACACAGGAGCATATTTAGAGGTTTGTTAATATGGAAAACCAGTCACTAAATATAGTCCTCTCATCCTGTTTGTTTTGTTATATTTTACTTTTTTACTTTTGTTATATTTTCTATCTGATATGTCTGGAAATATGTATATCCCCAAGTAGTCATTGTGATTATTTTCCAGTGTTCACATTATGAGCAATTTAACATTTATCTGTATTTTAGAATTTAGACCATCTATGTAATTTAAAGTAAAACAAAAACAAAGTTAAATAAATTTAGGCCATAAATCACAGGATGAAATATTTGCTGAGAATGAAAGCTGCAGGGTCCTTATCCCTTGCTGTGCTATGAGACCAGACTCCTGGCTGAGACTAGTTGAGGGGTGGGGCTGACACACGTGGCTGCTGTGGGGGTTTGAGTAGCAGATGCCAGCAGCAGCAGCCTGTGCTTGGGCTCTATTGGAGAAGAAAGGAAGTTGCCATCTGTTGTATTTCAAGCTTCAGAAATGACTCCCTCTCTGCCCACTGGTTTCCATGGGCACCAGGGCAAAAAGAGAGTAGAACCAGAAGAGGCTATTTGCGTGTGGGGGAAGTATTGGGCAAACTATACATCAGGGTGGTAAAGCCCAGCTGCTCAGGTTGGGGAGGACACCTGATAGCGGCATAGTCATAAGCCTCATGCCCGAGCAGACATAGCCCTTCAGGTCTCAAGGTATGCAGACTCTGTGGGGCAGCGGGTCCCCCTGGTCTATGGAGGGACCTTTTGTGTAGTCAGGGTCCTTTAGAAGGGTAGGAGCCATTCTCTAGCCCTTCTGCCACAAGACGACGTGGCCAAAGTGTGGGAAGGGTATGTGTGTGTGTGTGTGTGTGTGTGCATGCATTCTTACCAACCAGAATTCAAACTGGTTACCTGATTTGCTCAAGTAGGATATTACTTAGGACTTAATACCCTGAGTGTCCTGACATGGAGGCTTCAGCCAAGGCAGACCCAAGCAGGTATTCTTGGTCCTTGTGGACATTCTCTTGCTGAAGGTTATGTGCTCTGGACCTTGCCTTGTCTAGGGACAGCCAACAGGACTGAATCATAGGGGGCTTTTAGAGAAATAGGGAAAAGCACCAATGCTGTTACATTACAGTAGCTGGATGCATCACCTCTTCTTTCCTGGCTCCTCCACCCCAGTCTAGAATGAGTTTAATGTATTTTCCAGCACCCAGCTCAAGAGTCAGAATGTTGCCAGCCCCCCCAGAAGACCTCTTACCCTCTACCCTTGTGCAGTCACCACACTGTTCTGTAACAGTAGAAGGCTTTGTGCTTCATGTAAACGAAATCACATGGTGTGTTCTCTTTAGTGTCTGCCTCATTCACTGAGTATTATGTTTTGAGACATCTCTGTGTTATGGTTTCTAGTCATAGTTTGTTTTTTGCTGTATGGTATTCCATTGTCTGAATATTCCACAGTTATGTATCCATTCTGTTGTTGAGAGATATCTGGGTAGTTTCCTGTTTTTAGCTAATACAAATAGTGCTGTTGGGTGGGGGTGAAACTTGTGGTCATAGGGTAGGGCTATGTTTAGTTTTTTTGTTTTGTTTTTTTTTTTGGTATCATTAATGTACAATCACATGAGCAACATTATGGTTACTAGATCCCCCCCATTACCAAGTCCCCACCACATACCCCATTACACTCACTGTCCATCAGCATTATAAGATGCTATAGAGTCACTACTTGTCTATTCTATGCTATACTGCCTTCCCCAGGCTATGTTTAGTTTTAGTAATTATTGCAAAACAGTTTTGCAAAGTTATTTTACCAAATGATGCTCCCACCAGCAGTGCATGAGTTCTGGATTACGCCAAATCTTTGCCAACCCACATTTTTTTTGTCTTTGTAATCTCAGCCATTCTGGTGAGTGTGTCTTGGTGTATCACATCGAATATTTTTTTTTCTTTTTCTTTGGTATCATTAATCTACAATTACATGAGGAACACCCCTCATCACCAAGTCCCACCCACAAGCCCCATTACAGTCACTGTCCATCAATGTAGTAAGATGCTGTAGAATCACTACTTGTCTTCTCTGTGTTGCACAGCCCACCCCATGCCCCCCCATTATACATGCTAATTGTAATGCTCCCTTTCTGCTCTCCTCCCCCCATTATCCCTCCCTTCCCACCCATCCTCCCCAGTCCCTGAACCTGGTAACTGTTAGTCCATTCTTGGGTTCTGTGATTCTGCTGCTCTTTTGTTCCTTCAGTTTTTTATTTGTTCTTATACTCCATGTATGAGTAAAATCATTTGGTACTTGTCTTTCTCCACCTGGCTTATTTCACTGAGCATAATACCCTCTAGCTCCATCCATGTTGTTGCAAATGGTAGGATTTGTTTTCTTTTTATGGCTGAATAATATTCCATTGTGTATATGTACCACATCTTTATCCATTCATGTACTGATGGACACTTAGTTTGCATCCATTTCTTGGCTATTGTAAATAGTGCTGTGATAAACATAGGGGTGCATCTGTCTTTTTCAAACTGGGCTGCTGCATTCTTAGGGTAAATTCCTAGAAGTGGAATTCCTGGGTCAAATGGTATCTCTATTTTGAGCTTTTTGAGGAATCTCCATACTGCTTTCCACAATGGTTGAACTAGTTTACATTCCCACCAGCAGTGTAGGAGGGTTCCCCTTTCGCTGCATCCTCGCCAGCATTTGTCGTTCTTAGTCTTTTCGATGTTGGTCATCCTAACTGGTGTGAGGTGATATCTCATTGTGGTTTTAATTTGCATTTCCCTGATAAATAGCAATATGGAGCACCTTTGCATGTGACTGTTGGCCATCTGAATTTCTTCCTTGGAGAATTGTCTGTTCATATCTCCACCCATTTTTTATTAGGGTTATTTGCTTTTTGGTTGTTGAGGTGTGTGAGTTCTTTATATATTTTGGATATTAACCTCTTGTCAGATATGTGGTTTACAAACATATTATCCCATACCATAGGATGACTTTTTGTTCCACTGATTGTGTCCTTTGCTGTGCAGAAGATTTTTAGATTAATGTAGTCCCATTTGTTCATTTTTGTTTCCCTTGCCCAAGGAGATGCATTTTTGTTTCCCTTGCCCAAGGAGATGCATTCATGAAAAATTTGCTCATGTTTATATTCAGGAGATTTTTGCCTATGTTTTCTTCTAAGAATTTTATGGTTTCATGACTTACATTCAGGTCTTTAATCCATTTTGAGTGTACTTTTGTGTATGGAGTTAGACAGTAATCTAGTTTCATTCTCTTGCATGTAGCTGTCCAGTTTTGCCAACAACAGCTGTTGAAGAGGCTGTCATTTCCCAATTGTATGTCCATGGCTCCTTTATTATATATTAATTGACCATATATGCTTGGGTTTATATCTGGGCTCTCTGTTCTGTTCCACTGGTCTATGGGTCTGTTCTTGTCCCAGTACCAAATTGTCTTGATTACTGTGGCTTTGTAGTAGGGCTTGAAATAGGAGAGCACAATCCCACCAGTTTTATTCTTCCTTCTCAGGATTGCTTTGGCTTTTTGGGGTCTTTTGTGGTTCTCTGTAAATTTTAGGACTATTTGCTCTAGTTCATTGAAGAATGCTGTTGAAGTTTGAAAGGGATTGCATTGAATCTGTAGACTGCTTTAAGCAGGATGGCCATTTTCACATTATTAATTCTTCCTATCCAGGAGCATGGGATGTATTCCAATTTATTGGTATCTTTAATTTCTCTCAAGAGTGTCTTGTAGTTTTCAGGGTATAGGTCTTTCACTTTCCTGTTTAAGTTTATTAATAGTATTTTATTCTTTTTGATGCAATTGTAAGTGGGATTGTTTTCCTGATTTTTCTGTTAGCTCATCATTAGTGTAGAGGAAAGCCACAAATTTCTGTGTTGGAAAGCCACAAATTTTGTATCCTTCAACTTTGCTGAATTCAGGTATTAGTTCTAATAGTTTTGGAATGGAGTCTTTAGGGTTTTTTATGTACAATATCATGTCATCTGCAGATAGTGACAGTTTGACTTCTTCATTACCAATCTGGATGCCTTGTATTTCTTTGTTTTGTCTAATTGCCATCACTAGGACCTCCAGTACGATGCTGAATAACAGTGGGGAGAGTGGGCATCCGTCTTG